ACAGAGATAGGAGGTGGAGAGAGTACATTCCAAACCCAGAGAGGAGCTGGGGCAAAGGTACAAAGCCTGAGTGAGCACAGCCTGATCAGGGACCTTGGAGTCCCGCATGTTCCACAGAGAGCAGCCTTGTTTTTTTATGCATGAAGAACTTTTGAGGGTGTCAGTCTATATCATTATAATCATAACCATCAGACCTAACATAGAACTTACTCTGTGCCAGGCAGTCTGCTAAGTGCTTTACTCACATCTCCCATTTTAAACACAACAACCCTAAGAGATAAGTCTTAACACCTTTTATAGGTGAGAAAACAGGCTTAGGGAGCCGGGAAGATACTGCCCCAGGTTAAAAAGCGCCCGTGCTGTTCTTTTCCCAATTGCTTCTGTTCCTTTTTTTTTTTTTTTACAGATTTTTGTTTTGGAGGCGTGACCTTTTTTCTCACATGTATGTATGTATGGTCATGTCCAGGCCCCCTCCTGTCCGACGGGGCACTCTGGGAGGTCACCCATTTGGCCTTGGCCTTTGCCTCCCCACAGTGTTCCAGCAAATGATGGTGTATGCATTGAACCAAGCCTGAAGTTCCGTTTGTTGTGTTTTTTTTTTTATATGAGAAAATTAACCCTAAAGAAGAACTGAAACGTACCGAGAAGACTTTATTGTACACACCGCTGCTGCCCAAGGCATTTGCCCTGAGTTCACGTTCACAAAGATAGGACTATTACTGGAAAGTGGTCCTTTAAATATATGCGTGTGGGGGGGGGGGTGTTGTGTGTGTGTGTGTGTGTGTTACAAATTGAAAGTTAATTAGGCTCCGATTTTAGAGAGCTTTAGCTGCCATCTGGAGCTTAAACTTGATTTTATGGTGATAAGAAAAAGGGAAGGGAGACGGTCTTCCACCAGAAACTTTTCACATTCCACCTTGGTGAGCAGCGAAAAGTGTTTGAGGGTTCAGCTTAAGAAGAGCCTGTTGAATGCAGGATGGGTCGGAAGGGAAAGGGTTTGAGAAGGCTCCAGTTGACAAGTCATGATCAAGTCTGGGGGTGCAGGGTGGGGAGTTAGGGCCTGAATTTAGGTGAGGCTGATGGTCATGGAGAGGGGGATGTTGTGAAAGGACGCTAACACATGGTAAATATATTTTTATACGTAAAGCCTGGCTCATTGGTTTTCCAAATAGGATGGGGGAGGTGGGGATTTGGTTTTTGGTTTTTGTTTTTTTTGTGTGTTTTGGGGTTTGTTTGTTTGTTTTACCGTGGACCCCACTTGTATCGTTATGATACATTCGCTTTTGCAAATCTTTCCCCTGAGTCCAGGATATCACTTGTTGCCTGTACCTGAATGAAACGCAAACGCGGATACATAAAGGCTTGAATCTGCGTCTAAACTTAGCCCCCCGCTGACTTGGAAAGAATCTCAACTTGGCAAAATGCCTTCCTCTCTCTTCAAGCAGCAGGTCTAAAAAGTAGCTCTCTAACCACCCCCCCCCACCCCCCTAACTAATGAACTATATCTAATAGCTTCTCTTTACAGAGTCCTTTGAGAAAGAGATGGCGTTTGTTTTTGACCTCATTATCCATTTCAGCCTGTCCTTGATGAAAATAATCGCCCCTTAGGCAGGTACATTCCTCACATTCCTCTCTCCGCTAGCTGCTAAGACGTTGTTAACCCCAGCGACCATGGGAAAATGCTGCCGTCTGCTTCAGAGAGTCTAAAAGGAGTGAGCCCAAGATAACAAGAGGTGAAGAGGTCAGAGTGGAAGCCTCTTTCATCTTTTTAGGCTGTTTCCAACCCAGACAAAGGATTCTGTCCAGGGGTGCAAGGCCCACGCGGCTTTATTTTATGGTCTGGCCCTGAAAGGGGGTTGGGAGGGCCGTGTCGTATCTGGATATTGTTCTGGAGGCGAATGCCTGGCTCCCGGGAAGTCCTCGACTCCTGGGGGAATGCTAAGTGGAAGGAAGGGCAAGCCGCCCCTGCCTCGGCGGAAGAGACCACCCAGCTACTCAAAGGGGAGTGTGAAGGGCTTGAATGGAATGAGCTGCAGGATTTATCATTTAGACAGTGAGATTAAGGGTGTGAGGCTGTTTAGCGGCTTCAAGTAGGAGTAGCTCCAGAAGAGAAGGGGAGAGGGTAAAGGGGGGGAGGCTGGGGAGGGGAGCGGGGGGATGAATGGAGAGGTAAGGACCGTTTGGAAAACTGTGTGGGTTTGGGGAGAGCGGAATCCAAATTTCCTCCCAGCTTGCCACTAACCTGCTTTATGACTTTGAACAAGTCATTTCTCCCTTTTGAACAATGAAGCGATCAGAAGGGTACCAGAAGGTGCCTCAAGGAACGGCCTGCTCCGCCCCCTCCCCTGCTTTTCCTCAGCTCACTTCATTGATTGTGCTTTATTAGAAAAGTTGTGTGACCACATTATCAATAATTGAAAGTCAACAACCCTGCATCGCACCAAAATCCCCAGTCCAGTCCCCAGCGCCTTCCTACAAGAACGACTGCCTTTTGGATAGATTTCCCTTCGATCTCTTTTCATAAGTGTCTATACTTTTTATTTTTTAACTTTTACTCATTTATTTTTAAAGACTTATTTATTTTTGAGAGAGAGAGTGCAAGCAGGGAAAGGGCGGTGAGGGGGGCGGGGGGTGGCCGACAGAGGATCCGAAGCGGGCTCTGTGCTGACAGTAGCCAGCCCAATGCGGGGCTCGAACTCAAGAACTGTGAGATCATGACCTGAGCTGAAGTCAAGATGCTCAACTAACTGAGCCACCCAGGGGCCCCCTTAAACATTTTTTTAAGTGTTTATTTATTTATTTTGAGAGAGAGAGAGTGAATGAATGGGGGAGAACTACTCCGTGTGGTTCTCTCTCCGTGTTCCGATAGGGCCCCACTTTCCCCTTCAGGCCCAGCGTGCAAGTGGAAGCAGCCCCCCTCGCTCTTGCTTTTCCAAATGCTGCTCACACCTTTGCACATAGTGCCTTTATTAAACTCTCTTCAAAGTTCCCAATTTTGATCGTGCCATCTGTTTCCTGCTGGGACTCTGATGGTCCCAGAATATATATGATTAGTACTTTCCAGATTACTACCCACAATCTACGTGCCGCATAGCACTGTGTTGAATATATACATACACTGTATACATATGCCTAATTCGCGTAGCCATTCCCTAATCCGTCCACCACGTGTACTCTGCTTCCTGTTTTTCCTGTGTGTGTGTGTGTGTTTTGTTTATGGTTTGGTTTTTTGGTTTTTGCTTTTCTTTCTTTCTTTCTTTTTTGTTTCTTTCAGTATCAAAACCTCAGCGAAATACCATCCCCCCCCACCCCCACCCCCACCAAGAAATCACAGTTTCATTGCAGGCACTCCCTTTTCTAGTTGGGTTTAAGCTCATGGCACCCAGGCCACTGATCCTTACATGTTTGTTTTCAGTTGCAGACCTTGGCTGCCTGCAGGGAACTGAACCCACTGGTAGTGTGAAATTAAGAAATGGATGCTAGACGAATAGCAGAGCCAACTGATGTGACACAGGTAGAAGTTCTGGGATTGAGGAGGGATGGAGATGAGAGAGTTGTTGGAAAAGGCCCCCTGGCTGGCTGGCCTGTTTCAGGACAGGGCTATCTGATTATGACCCAGGTTCCTTTATCAGAACCCAGAAGTGGGCCCTCATCTGACGTTTTGATTTGTGTATCAAATGAAAATGCCAGGTGTTTACTTTTCAACTAGAAAAATGTCGGGTGGGCCTGAATCTTTGCCTTTGTAACTCTTACTTTTCCTTGCCTTTGACCCTCCCGTTCACAGATGCTTTACAATTGCAAGCTACATAGGAATCACCTGGGAATCTTGTTAAATGCAGACTGGGGGGCGCCTGGGTGACTAAGTCAGGGTGAATGACTGACTTAGGCTCAGGTCATGATCTCACAGTTTGTGAGTTCGAGCCCCACGTCTCAGAGCCTGGAGCCTACTTCAGATTCTGTGTCTCCCTCTCTCTCTGCTCCTCCCCTGCTCATGTTCTCTCTCTCTCTCTCTCAAAAATAAAACAAAAATTAAAAAGAAACAAATGCAGATTGGGATTCAGGAAGTTTGGGGTGGGACCTGAGAATTTAATTTAAAAAAATTTTTTTTAATGTTTTATTTATTTCTGAGAGAGAGAGAGAGGCAGCGTGAGCAGGGGAGGGTCAGAGAGAGAGACACACACACAGAATCTGAAACAGGCTCCAGGCTCTGAGCTAGCTGTCAGCACAGAGCCCGACACAGGGCTTGAACCCACAAACCGTGAGATCATGACCTGAGCCGAAGTCGGACGCTTAACCGACTGAGCCACCCAGGTGCCCCTGACAATTTAATTTTAACGTATGCCAAAATTCCTTCAGTCTAGTACGACCTGTCTTCTGGTGCCACTGAGGGCTATAAAAGAATGCCTTCCGGGGCACCTGGGTGGCTCAGTCGGTTAAGCGTCCGACTTCGGCTCAGGTCATGATCTCATGATTTGTGGGTTCGAGCCCCGTGTCGGGCTCTGTGCTGACAGCTAGCTCAGAGCCTGGAGGCTGTTTCAGATTCTGTGTCTCCCTCTCTCTCTGACTCTCCCCTGCTCACACTGTCTCTCTCTCTCTCTCTCTCAGAAATAAATTAAAAAAAAAAAAAAAAAAGAATGCCTTCCTTGGGGCTCCTGGCTGGGTCAGTTCATGGAGCATATGACTCCTGATTTCAGGGTAGTGAGTTCAAGCCCCACGCTGGGTGTAGAGATTACTTAAAAATAAACTCTTAAGGGGCGCCTGGGTGGCTTAGTCGGTTAAGCGTCTGACTTTCGCTTGGGTCATGATCTCGCGGTTTGTGGGTTCGAGCCCCGCGTCAGGCTCTGTGCTGACTGCCAGCTCAGAACCTGGAGCCTGTTTCAGTCTGTGACACCCTCTCTCTCTGACCCTCCCCTGCTCACGCTGTCTCTCTCTCTCTCTCCTAGAAATAAATAAAAATATTAAAAAAAATAATAATAAATAAACTCTTAAAACCAAATGGATGTCCTTCTTTGCTCTAGTTCCGATCATGGTAATTTATCATTTAATATTCGGATGGGCAATCTTCTGTTTCAGTCCCTGGTGGAGGAGTGGAGCAGCAGGCGTAGCTTCCTGAAGCAGCAAGGGGAGATCTCTGAGAGGTGGGAACTTCTTCACCTCGGGGCTGAAGGACAACTGGCTGTCATTCTTTCCTGCTATTCTCTGTTGTCATTGTCATTGCCTGGGAGCTGTGGACCAACCACACACCCACCCTTCACTTTACCTGAAGCCAGAAAACCTCAACACCTGAGGTCTTTGCTTCTTCTGTGTTTGTGAAGGGACTTAGCTTGAACCTTCAAAGACAGTCCCCTCATAATTTTAAATGAAGAATTGAATAGAATAGAATGGGGGAATTAGTCATAAGCATATTACTAACATCACTTTACCTTTTAAAAACACTTGACAGTTTACAAATCATTTAGAGATCCGCCATCTTTGGATTCTTATGGTGCTGGCAGCTGGGGCTGGCATTAACCTCATTTTCTAGATAAAATGAGCCTCAGAGAGGGCAAATGACATATCCAGGATCAACCAGCTACTGGGTGGTAGAACTCGGGTTTACCTTCTAAATGCCCTTCTTAGCTCCGAGGCGCCTGGGTGGCTCAGTTGACTTGGGCTCAGGTCATGATCTCACAGTTCATGAGCGTGAGCCACGCATCGGGCCCTGTGCTGTCAGCATCGAGCCTGCTTGGGATTCTGTCTCCCTCTCACCCCCACCCCATCTTGCTCTCTCTCTGAAAAATAAAATAAACATTTAAAAAAATATTTAAAAAAACAAATGACCTCTTAGCCTGGATTGCACGTCTTCTTGATTTTCTGTGTAAAAAGAACAACAGTGCACCTGGGTGTGTCAGTCGATTAAACATCTGACTTCGGCTCCAGTCATGATCTCACAGTTCGTGGGGTCGAGGCCCGCGTCGGGCTCTGTGCTGATGGCTCAGAGCCTCGAAGCTGCTTCAGATTCTGTGTCTCCCTCTCCCTGCCCCTCCCTTGCTTGTGCTAGCTCTCTCTCTCTCAAAAAATTAATTAATTAAAAATCAAGAAAAACTATTAAAAAATAAAAATAAAATTAAAAGAATTGCAGCAATTGCTGTCTCTCCCCAGGTTTCTATGATTTGACCCTGCCCATTCTCACTGCCACTCTCCCTTCCCAGGCTTCCATCATCACACACTGGAATTATCACCAGAGCAGTCCGTCTAGATTGTTAAGACTAGAACAAATTCTCACAGAGCCCTACTATGTGCCAGGCCCTGTGTGCCAAGCTCTGAGGGTAGGGATGACTTTGTCCTGACCTTCTAGGAGACACAAAGACCTGAAACAGGTCACTGCAATGGCATGAGGAAAGAGCCGTGACGGAAGGTGTACACATACCTGCGGCGAGGCTAGGTGTCGGAAGGCGGCTCCTTCCTGCTGGTCTTCTGGATGCCAGGTTTTCTTCATCACAGGCACCGAGTGTTGTGTGTTCCCTGGTCAGGATCCGCTAGTGACATCACAGTGCCAAGACTCCAACTCGTGCCAAGTCCTCCATTATCTGGCCCCTGAATCTTCACATTCCTCACGACAGCTCTCTATGCCGGTCACCACTTTATTCCTGATTGGTCCAGACACATATTCTTATGATTCTGGTCAAAGAATCACAGTGATAACTTTAATACTACTTATCGGTTGTCTATGTCTCTCTGCTAAGTGCTTTTTAATGTTCTTTCATGTAATACTCCCATCTCAGTGGGGGTAGGTATCATCTTCCTCATGGAGAACCTTGGTTCAGAGAGATTAAGTAACTTGCCCAAGTCACACAGCTAGAACATAGCTGAGTAGAACTAACCCCCCAGGTCAAACCCAAAATCATACACACTTGCCATTCTACTCTGCTGAAATGAGGGGCAGAGAATGCTGTATATTAGGAATTAGTAAGGTTTAAAAATTTTTAGTGTTTATTTATCTATTTTTTTACATTTTTATTTATTTTTGAGAGACAGAGAGAGAGCATGAGCAGAGAAGGGGAAGAGAGAGAGAGGGAGACACAGAATCTGAGGCAGGCTCCAGGCTCTGAGCTGTCAGCACGGAGCCCGATGCGGGGCTCTAACTCACGAACTGTGAGATCATGACTTGAGCTGAATCTGGATGCTTAACTGACTGAGCCACCCAGGCACCTCGGGATGAGTAATTTTGTCTCCTTACTCTCGCCGCTCCTCCACCTGAAACACTCACTTTCTCCTTCAGGGATCTCAATGTTGCACTTCCTGAAACACCCCGGAGACTTTCCTCACCTTGAAGTCCCTCTGATGTTGCTTGCTCCCTTTATACTGTATGATCTAGGATTACTTAAGCTTCCAAGGCCTTGGAATTGTTCTCTAGTGATTTTGTGGAGGAACCTTTGAACCTGACTACCAGCTCCTCTTCAGACTGGCGAGAGGGCCAACATCCATAATAATAGCTAACAATTAATGTTGCTGAAAATGGAGACCAGTTATTCAGAACACCAGTAGAGGTATCAAGAAAGCCTCGCAAAACAAAACAAAAACAAAAACAAAACAGGTGAGCAGTATAATTAACATGGTCATGTCTCTGGGCTACAGTTTTCTCATCTGTAAAGTGCATGGACTTGAACTAGATGGTCTCTAGTCAGGAAATATTTATTGTATTACTCCCCCTCCTCCACCCCCCACCCCCCCGGGCACCAGGCACTGTTCTAGGTACTGGGGATACAGCAGACAAAAATTCTTGCTGTTATTCCAGGAGAAAGAGACTCAATAGACAAAGCAAATATGAAAATACATGAAGTGTATATATTATGTCAGACAGTGATAAGTGTGAAGGAGAACTATCAAGCAGGGAAGGGGAAAGGAAATGCCCAGAAATGACATTATTTGACTTGCATTTTAAAAGATTCACTTGCTGACGTGGAGAATAGACCATGAGCAGATAAGTGAGTAATCAGGGAGACTGATTAGCAGATAGCTGTGGCAGTCCAGTCCTGGACTGGTGGTGGGGCTCGGACAAGGAGTAGAGATTAGAAGTGGTCAGAGGCTGGGGGCCCCGAGGTGGCTCAGTTGGTTAAGCATCCAACTTCGACTCATGGTTCATGAGTTTGAGCTCCATGCTGGGAGCCTGCTTTGAATTTTGTGTCACCCTCTCTCTCTGCCCCTCCTCCCCCACACCCTGTCTCTCTGTCTCTCTCAACAATAAATAAACATTAAAATAAATAAATAACTAAAAAAGAAGTGGTCAGACTTTGGATGTATTTTGAAGGTAAAGCCAACACAATGTACTGATGGATTGTATGTAGAACTGACTCCAAGATGTCTCCAAGATCTTTGCCCTGGAAGGAAGGAATATCTGTGAGTTGACATATTGAGGATGGGGAAGACTAGAAATGGAGCAGGTTTTGAGGAGACAATCAAGGGGAAGCATGGAGTAAGCAGTGGATACATGAGTCTGGAGTTTAAGGGGGAGGTCCGGGCTAGAGATATAAACGTGAGAGCTGTCCAGGTATAGATGACGCATCAGATACTTAAAATTCTCTGGGCCCTGGCTTCTTCCCCCAGCCTGACGTCATGCAGCTGGTATTGGCCAGATTTGCAATGAGTACAAACTGACAGTGCCTCACCCCTGCCTCTCTGTTTACCTCTTGCTTCCTGTACAAAGTGAGCTTGAGGACAACCATGGAAACTCACTCCGCATCACCATATGTATAACCCAGAGAGTTGGGATGATAGGGGAGTTGATGCTCTTGTTGAAGAGAAGCCGATGGATACATGTAGATCCCTTTTATCCCTTCACAGACAGTTCTGAATCTCCTTAGAAGGTTCTGTGGAGAATAGCATCAGTATTCCATAGTGGTGGTCACTCAGTAGTGCTCGATAATGCATTCTTGAATTGGTTTATCCTTTCTTCTCTGTTTTCGTCACCCTGTCCCTCATTTCTGCTCTCTGGAATTTCATTCCCGTATAAACAACCTGCATGCAAACCTTTTATTAAGGTTCTGCTCTTAGAGGTGCCTAAGCTCAGCCACGTGGCATTAACATGAGACTGAATGAGATCACCAAATGGATTGGTGGAGATTGGGTGCAGATACAAGGATTGAGCCCCACGACCCTCCAACATGTAGCGGTGAAAGAGATGGAGCGAACCTACCCTAAAGAACAACCCAGAAAATGCAGTGTCTTGGAAGCCAAGAGTAACAAGTATTAAAGGGAGAAGGAATGGTCGGCTGATCCCTGCTGAGCAGTCAAGTAAAGATGGAGACTAAAGATGACTTTTAGGATTAACCACAAGGGGGGTTGGGGAGGCTTGCCGACCTCAACAAAGGGCAGTTTGGGTAGAGTTGTGTAGTGATTGAAGTGAGTTTGAGAGAGGTGCCTGGGTGGCTCAGTCGGTTAGCAGCTGACTCGGTTTTGGCTCAGGTCATGATCTCACGGTTTGGGAGTTGGAGCCTGCTTGGGATTCTTTCTCTCTCTGCCCGTCCTGGCTCATGCTCTCTCTCTCAAAGTAAACAAATAAACTTAAAAACAACAACAACAACAAAAGAAATGAGTTTGAGAGAGATAAGCTAGAGGGGAAATAGGGTCAGGAGAGACTCTCTCTCTCTCTTTTTTATGTTTATGTATTTATTTTGAGAGCGATTGTGCACGTATGGGAGAGCAGGGGAGGGACAGAAAGGAGAGAGAGAATTCCAAGCAGGCTCTGCACTGTTGGCGCAAGCCCGAGTTAGGGCTCAAACCCATGACGCATGGAGGGTTTCACCTGAGCTGAAATCAAGAGCTGGACACTCAACCAACTGAGCCACCCAGGCATCCCAGGAGAGACTCTTTTCAAGATGGGGGAAATTATACCATATTTAAATATATTTATATGCCGTTGTGAATGACTTAGCGAACAGGGAAATAGAGATGGTACAGAAGAGAGCATTGCTGGAGGGAGAGGATGGGATCTAGAGGCCAGTGAAGGTGTCTGCCTTAGATAGATAGGAGCCAGACAGTTTATCCCCAAAATGCAGGAGGAAGAGCAGAGTGTGCGGGTAAATTCTCACATCCCACGGCTCACTGAGTGCTTGAGTTGCAAGATGTCAATCACACTTGGGGCCTGTGCCATCCACCACACTCCTTGATTTTTTTTAACTGTTTATTTATTTTTGAGAGAGAGAGAGAGAGACAGAGCATAGGCAAGGGAGGGGCAGAGAGGGAGGGAAACACAGAATCCGAAACAGGCTCCAGGCTCTGAGCTGTCAGCACAGAGCCCCATGCGGGGCTCAAGTTCACCAACTGTGAGATTATGACCTGAGCTGAAGTCGGACCCTCAACCAACTGAGCCACCAGAGCCCCAACACATTCCTTCATTTAAAGTGGGACCAGAGGGAAGTGGAGGCAACCTGCCCAAGGACACACCATTGATTAGAAGCAGATTTGCAGTTAGAATGTAGGCTCCTCCTGCCCTGCCCAGCACCTGAAGGCTCTCCCTTGGGGGGAGTCTTGACCTTAGTCAGTTATCCGCCCCCCCCCCATTCCTGTGCTCCAAGTCACAGCGGCTGGCCTAGCGGACTCCAGGAAGGACAGCAGAACAGGGACATGGAGACACAGGCAAGCCCCAGAATTGGACCACCAAGTCACCAGGCGAGTTAACTTGATGGTTTGCTGATGAGTTCATGGCATCTCCCTAGGAGTATTTAGGAATCGATTTAATCACCATAAAGAAAGCTGTAAACGGGCAAATTGGGTTGAGCAAAATCCGCCAAAATGCAGAAGGAGGATATTATAAATCCAAGTGCAGACCGAAGGGCACAAATCCTTCTGGAACCTAGATTCCTGGTCTCAAATACTCTGTCAGGCCTGGTTTCTTGATTTGTGGTTTGGAAACACGGTCTCTCTAAGCTTAGAGTTGAAATGGGTGGGCAGTGAGGGGGGGGGGGCGTCACAGAGAGGCACAAACCCTGTGGAAGAGCCGCACACACAGCTTCGCCTTGACCTCCAGGAAGCCTGCAAAGCCTCTGCATTGTCTCTCAAACATTCTCTGTGCTTTTGTGTGATGTCCTGCGCCAAGTGCGTCAGGTATGCGGGTGGGGGAGGGAGGTATAGATCCAAAACAGAGACACTGGAAGAGGTCCTGTCCTCACATTTTTACAGTCCTTTTTTTTTTTTTTTAATATTTATTTTTGAGAGAGAGCGAGTGAGCGGGGGAGGGCCAGAGAGAAAGAGAGACAGAATCCAAAGTGGGGTCTGTGCTGACTGCAGAGAGACTGACGCGGGGCTCAAACCCACGAACCACGAGATCATGACCTGGGCGGAAGTCAGACGCTTAACCCGCTGAGCCACCAGGCGCCCCCAAAGTTTTCCAGTCTTATAAGAAGAAGCTATTCGCTCATTTGACTAATTTCATGCCTGCTTCTGGGTCTCTTGCATCTCCGTTATTTCAGGCCTGGATGGAAGGGAGCATACAGTTTACGGGGTGACTGTCTTTAGTCACTGCACAGGCAGCTCCCTAACTGTGGATTCAAAAATATAAGTTATAAACCGCTCTTGGGTACAAATTTCTCCCCTGTGAGCTTGTTGAGCGCGATCCACTTATCTCTAGTGCCGATCGCCAGTTAAATCCTGCCCGAGTAGCTGAAAGCCTGTTTGTTTTA